ATAAACTTCAGTGGAGTTTGAAAACAAAATATGTGTATAGATTTATTATATCTGGTTGAACGATGTGTGTGCCCAGTTGATTCTTTTTTTTCTTCTTTTTTTTTTGGGGGGGGGGGAATTTTATTGTAATCCAAAGGGGGGCCCAGGAGAAAATCTTTGGGAACCACTGGGTTAAATGCAGAGAGTGAATTGGCAAAAATACTTGATTCACAAAGAAGGTCATTAAAACAAAGAAGAACAAATGTCTTATATTTTCCCTGTCTATTCCCCAGTATTACTGTTGTTAGTTGCTGTTTAACCATCCTTTAAAACCATGGCTGCCGTCTGGATTATTTTATGACTAATTCAACCTATCTGGTGTTTGTAACAGAGGCAAGTAAAACATACAGCAATAAATCTATTATTTTTCAAAGCCACAGCATTTCTTTACAAAATTCAGAAAACAGTTTAGCCTCTTCACCTGTTGCTTTTCCAAAGATGCGACCAGAAAAAAGATAAATGTAGTCAGGTGAAAGGTAATTAATGAAGTTTCCCCAGGCAGAAGGAGATTAAATGCTGCAGTAGAGACTGAAAGATTAGAGGCTCACCTTGTGAAGGGATTGTGTCCTCAGAGCAGGATGGGGTTGTCGTCTCTGTGCTGTATCCACTGGAGTACTGCAGGGAGTCTCGGCTGCTTTTCTGCTGCTCCACACTTAGTCCCCTGGTCAGTACCATGGCAAGGTCACTTGCTGCTGGAGAAACCTCCTCACCATGCTGAGGACACAGGAAATCTCGAATGCAGTGTGTGTTTGTTTTTGGTTTTCTAGCCTCTTTTCAAAGATATTTTGGTCCATTTGTTGCCTTTTAACAGCTTGGTCAATGCAAAAATGTCAGAAAAATTGGAATTAAAATCCCAAAACATCTTCAGTAAGCTATGGCATTAATCTTTATCAATGAGGTTCAAAGACACAATTTAAATTATACCTATGCTTTGTTTTAGTATCATCTTTCTAACATGTTTAATTGAATATTTCCACTATTTGGTTCATTGGTGTATGGGGAGTGTTGGCCTAATGGTTAGAGCAGTGTGCTTGTGCTCTAAGCAGGTTGCTAGTACCCGGTTTGATCCTCACAGCATCCACTCTGGGTTCCTGAGAAAGACCTTTAATCTCCACACTGCTCCCCAGACGCCGGACCATGGTAGATGCCTGCTCCCCAAGGGGATGGGTTAAATGCTGAGTGAATTTCCCCATTGTGGGACAATAAAGGGATTTAAATTACATAATTCCTTAGCATGCAACTTCTGGTTTTAAAATATATGAATTAGGGATGGAAATTAATAGGATTAATCATGATTTACCGATTAATTCAGTAATCGGTGAATTGTTAAGTGGAGTATAGCCTGCTTGTAGTGGACAGAACAACCCACTAAAAGCAGTAATTATATAAAAATTATTTTCAAAAATATATACAAACATTTTGCAAAAACATTTTTGTGTGTCAATATGCTCTATCAAGATCTCCTCCGGTGAAAAAAACCTTTTAGTTTTTCCTAGTTTTATTTAATAAAAACCTTCTTGAACCTTTTCCTATTTGATTATTAATTGAAAAAATAATCAACATATTATGTTTTTTCAAAATAGTTGTTATTTGCAGCCCTAATGTGAATTCTTCCAGACTGACCTAAACATAACTTGGAGACGAATGACAAGACATTCTTATCAATAGGACCGATGGTCTGAACCTGTGAGGTAAACTAACCCTCTGTTAGCTTTTTTTATTCATATACTATGTTTGGTTTGACACGGCACATCTGATCCCGTTATTCAACAGAAGGAAGACTGACTGAAGCTACTCTGCAACAGAACCTGAAACAAAAGACATAATTTGAAGCCAATTTTCCGGTATCAGCACCATGGAGAGAGACCTAGATGGCCCAGTCAGCACTGTTTGAATGTGTTAGTGCTGCGCTGGAGCACACAACCTCTATAGTAGATTTAATTCAATTCAATTCAGTTTATTTATAAAGCGCAAATTCATAAAACATGTCATCTCAAGGCAATTTACAATTCAACCAGATCATACAGTCAAATTGATTCAAAGTTTTCTATCTAAGGAAAAACAGTTGATTGCATCGACTCCTTGACTCGAATGCAATCCCTCACGCTAAGCATGCTTGTAGCGACAGTGGAGAGGAAATACTCCCTTTTAACAGGAAGAAACCTCCAGCAGAACCAGGCTCAGTGTGAGCAGCCATCTGCAGAGGCAGAATCGAGTTGAAGTAGA